TCTCTCCATCTGTTTGTATCATCTTTAATTTCTTTCATCACTGTCTTATAGTTTTCTGCATACAGGTCTTTTGTCTCCCTAGGTAGGTTTATTCCTAGATATTTTATTCTTTTTGTTGCAATGCTAAATGGGAGGGTTTCCATAATTTTTCTTTCAGATTTTTCATCATTAGTGTATAGGAATGCAAGAGATTTCTGTGCATTAATTTTGTATCCTGCAACTTTACCAAATTCATTGATTAGCTCTAGTAGTTTTCTGGTGGCATCTTTAGGATTCTCTATGTATAGTATCATGTCATCTGCAAACAGTGACAGTTTTACTTCTTCTTTTCCAATTTGTATTCTTTTTATTTCTTTTTCTTCTCTGATTGCTGTGACTAGGACTTCCAAAACTATGTTGAATAATAGTGGTGTGAGTGGACATCCTTGTCTCGCTCCTGATCCTAGAGGAAATGCTTTCAGTTTTTCACCATTGAGATTGATGTTTGCTGTCGGTTTGTCACATATGGCCTTTATTATGTTGAGGTAGGTTCCCTCTATGGACACTTTCTGGAGAGTTTTTATCATAAGTGGGTGTTGAATTCTGTCAAAAGCTTTTTCTGCATCTATTGAGATGATCATATGGTTTTTATTCTTCAGTTTGTTAATATGGTGTATCACATTGATTGATTTGTGTATATTGAAGAATCCGTGCATCCCAGGGATAAATCCCACTTGATCATGGTGTATGATCCTTTTAATGTGTTGTTGAATTCTGTTTGCTAGTATTTTGTTGAGGATTTTTGCATCTATATTCATCAGTGATATTGGTCTGTAATTTTCTTTTTATGTAGTCTCTTTGTCTGATTTTGGTATCGGGGTGATAATGGCCTCATAGAATGAGTTTGGGGATGTTCCTTCCTCTGCAATTTTTTGGAAGAGTTTGAGAAGGATGGGTGTGAGCTCTTCTCTAAATGTTTGATAGAATTCACCTGTGAAGCCATCTGGTCCTGAACTTTTGTTTGTTGGAAGATTTTTAATCACAGTTTCAATTTCATTACTTGTGATTGTTCTGTTCATATTTTTCTATTTCTTCCTGGTTCAGTCTTGGAAGGTTATACCTTTCTAAGAATTTGTCCATTTCTTCCAGATTGTCCATTTTATTGGCATAGAGTTGCTTGTAGTAGTCTCTTAGGATGCTTTGTATTTCTGTGGTGTCTGTTTTAACTTCTCCTTTTCCATTTCTAATTTTATTGATTTGAGTCATCTCCCTCTTTTTCTTGATGAGTCTCACTAATGGGTTATCAATTTTGTTTATCTTCTCAAAGAACCAGCTTTTAGTTTTATTGATCTTTGCTATTGTTTTCTTTGTTTCTATTTCATTTATTTCTGCTCTGATCTTTATGATTTCTTTCCTTCTGCTAACTTTGGGTTTTGTTTGTTCTTCTTTCTCTAGTTCCTTCAGGTGTAAGGTTAGATTGTTTATTTGAGATTTTTCTTGTTTTTTGAGGTAGGCTTGTATAGCTATAAACTTCCCTCTTAGAACTTCTTTTGCTGCATCCCATAGGTTTTGGATCATCGTGTTTTCATTGTCATTTGTCACTAGGTATTTTTGATTTCCTCTTTGATTTCTTCAGTGATCTCTTGGTTATTTAGTAATGTATTGTTTAGCCTCCATGTGTTTGTGTTTTCCACGTTTTTTTCCCTGTAATTCATTTCTAATCTCATAGCATTGTGGTCAGAAAAGGTGCTTGATATGATTTCATTTTCTTAAATTTACTGAGGCTTGATTTGTTACTCAAGATGTGATCTATCCTGGAGAATGTTCCATGCACACTTCAGAAGAAAGTGTAATCTGCTGTTTTGGGATGGAATGTCCTATAAATATCAATTAAATCTATCTGGTTTACTGTGTCATTTAAGCTTCTGTTTCCTTATTTATTTTCATTTTGGATGATCTTTCCATTGGCATAAGTGAGGTGTTAAAGTCCCCCACTATTATTGTGTTACTGTAGATTTCCTCTTTTATAGCTGTTAGCAGTTGCCTTATGTATTGAGGTGCTCCTATGTTGGGTGCATATATATATGTAATTGTTATATCTTCTTCTTGGATTGATCCCCTGACCATTATGTAGTGTCCTTCTTTGCCTCTGTAACATTCTTTATTTTCAAGTCTGTTTTATCTGATATGAGTATTGCTACTCCAGCTTTCTTTTGATTTCCATTTGCATTGAATATCTTTTTCCATCTCCTCACTTTCAGTCTGAATGTGTCCCTAGATCTGAAGTGGGTCTTTGTAGACAGCATATATATGGGTCTTGCTTTGTATCCATTCAGTGAGCCTGTGTCTTTTGGTTGGAACATTTAATCCATTCACGTTTAAGGTAATTATCAATATGTATGTTTCTATTACCATTTTCTTAATTGTTCTGGGGTTTTTTTGTAGGTCATTTTCTTCTCTTGTGTTTCCCACTTAGAGAAGTTCCTTTAGCATTTGTTGTAGAGCTGGTTTCGTGGTGCTGAATTATCTTAGCTTTTGCTTGTCTGTAAAGCTTTTGATTTCTCCATTGAATCTGAATGAGATCCTTGCCGGGTAGAGTAATCTTGGTTGTAGTTTCTTCCCTTTCATCACTTTAAGTATATCATGCCACTCCCTTCTGGCTTGTAGAGTTTCTGCTGAGAAATCAGCTGTTAACCATATGGGAATTCCCTTGTATATTTTTTGTCATTTTTCCCTTGCTGCTTTTAATAATTTTTCTTTGTCTTCATTTTTGCCAATTTGATTACTATGTGTCTCGGTGTGTTTCTCCTTGGGTTTATCCTGTATGGGACTGTACTTCCCAGACTTGGGTGGCTATTTCCTTACCTATGTTAGGGAAGTTTTCAACTATAATCTCTTCAAATATCTTCTCTGGTCCTTTCTCTCTCTCTTCTCCTTCTGGGACCCCTATAATGTGAATGTTGTTGCATTTAATGTTGTCCCAGAGGTCTCTTAGGCGGTCTTCATTTCTTATTTTTTTTGCGGTACAAGGGCCTCTCACTGTTGTGGCCTATCCCATTGCAGAGCACAGGCTCTGGACGCACAGGCTCAGCAGCCATGGCTTATGGGCCCAGCTGCTCTGCGGTATGTGGGACCTTCCCAGACTGGGGCATGAACCCATGCCCCCTGTATTGGCAGGCTGACTCTCAACCACTGCGCCACCAGGGAAGCCCTGTCTTCATTTCTGTCCATTCTTTTTTCTTTATTCTGTTCTGCAGCAGTGAATTCCACCGTTCTGTCTTCCAGGTCACTTATCCATTCTTCTGCCTCAGTTATTCTTCTACTGATTCCTTCTAGTGTAGTTTTCATTTCAGTTATTGCATTGTTCATCTCTGTTTTTTTGTTCTTTAATTCTTCTAGGTCTTTGTTAAACAGTTCTTGCATCTTCTCGATCTTTGCCTCCATTCTTTTTCCGAGGTCCTGGATCATCTTCCTTATCATTATTTTGAATTCTTTTTCTGGAAGGTTGCCTATCTCCACTTCATTTAGTTGTTTTTCTGGGGTTTTATCTTGTTCTTTCATCTGGTACATAGCCCTCTGCCTTTTCATCTTGTCTGTCTTTCTGTGAATGTGGTTTTTGTTCCACAGGCTGCAGGATTGTAGTTCTTCTTGCTTCTGCTGTCTCTCCTCTCAGCTTGCTTCTTTTTAATGGCAACTTTCCATTGTACAGAAATTTTACTTTTGTGTGTGTGTGTGTGGTATGTGGGCCTCTCACTGTCGTGACCTCTCCCATTGCAGAGCACAGGCTCCGGATGCGCAGGCTCAGCGGCCATGGCTCATGGGCCCAGCCACTCCATGGCATGTGGGATCTTCCCGGACCAGGGCACGAACCCGTGTCCCCTGCATCGGCAGACGGACTCCCAACCACTGCACCACCAGGGAAGCCCAAATATTTTACATTTTAACGTAGACTAACTTATGAATCTTTTCCTTCATGGTTTGTTCTTCTTGACTCTTGTTTAATATATCTTTACTATATTGATATGACAAAGATATTCTTTTAAAAGTTTTAAAGTTTTGCTTTTTAAACCATCTGTTTGTCTTGTTATGCTGTAACTTTTTTCACATGGATAAGCTAATTACTACCCAGTCCATCCTTTCCCTGCTGATTTGCCATTCTTCTCATAAAAATAGTTCCTGTCAATGCATGTGTCCATTTGGAGTCTTTCTGCTCCGTCCCATGGGTCTATTTCTCTCTTCCTGTACAATATACCATATTTTTCTATCTAGTCTTGATTCCACCTTGTTTTTCAAGCACCTTTATGACATTATCTCATTTCTTCTCTTACATCATTGCAATCACCTTGGGGTTCTAGACCAGGAGAGGATGGGGTCAGCAGACTGGGGCTAACATGCTGAAGAAATTACCACTAAACAACAGGACTAAAGTTCATCTTTTCCACATTGATGATGGAGTCAGCTGCCAACCATTCAATTTGGGAAACAAAGTTGCAAATTACATGGGCTGGACCCAGAAGACAAGACTTCAGGTGATGTTCCAGGGGAAGGCCCAGGTCCTGGAGGAGCACAGTGGTGAAGGGGCTCTGCATTCTCCCACAGTGGAGTTTCCCTCCTTTGCCATCTGTGGAGGGGCCAATGGGACTGTACCAGGGAGCTGTCCCACCTGACTGAGCCTGCAGATAACTGAGGAGGAAGGGGCAGGGGGCTGGGCAGGCAGCAGAGAGTCAGTCTCTGAGCATATGGACCATCACCTGAACTCTTGTCTTCTGATGAACACTTTTGAGGGAGAGAACTGAGGAGAAAATGACCTCACTCGTCCTTGCTCCTCTCTCATCTCCACTGCTCACTCTTAGACTCCCTACATCTTATCCTTTCTGTAGCCTGGTAACAGAGCCGCTGGGTCCAGCCCAGAGCACGAGAAGTGGGGGGGGGGGGGGGCAGGACCTTTCACTAGTGAAGGCGGCTGATGGAATGGCTACACTGCAGAGGGCCCCGAGACCCAGAGAGTCTCCTCAGTGGTGATGGTGACCATCATGAGCGTCCCTGCTCTGCAGGAGGCTCCCCGTGCTGGTACCGGGACCGCACTGCCTGGGGCTGGGCATCTGGGCAGCCCCCGCCCGCAGACTCGGAGACCCTCGGCAGCAGCTGTGTGCACCGGAGATATGGCCGCGTGGGCGACGCCGGGGCTGGAGGCGACTCCCCAGCACGAGCAAGTACCGGGTGTGGGGTGCGGGTATAGGGGAACACCAGGCTGGGGTCCCAAGGCCCGCACAGGGGCTGGGAGGCCCCACAGATAGGTCCCCAGGGTCCCTCGCCAGCACCCGGTGTGGACTGGCTGGGGATGGAGGGAGGGATGACCTTCTGGAAAATGCTGTCTCTTCACCCCGCCCCACCCCACCCCAGGAGGCCGAGCTCCTCTCCATTTCCCTCTCTGCCTCTTTCCTTTTCTTCTCCCCTTCCTTCTCCCCTTCCCCTCTTTTCCTCTCTCCTCCTTCCCTCCATGTCTCCCCACCCACTCTGTCTCTTCCAGCATGAGCCTTCTGCTCAGCCCTATCCATCCATTCCCTGCCCTCCATGCTGGCTGCACCCCTCTCTCCTCCTTGCTCCCTGGCGGAACCGGGTGAAGGCCAGAGGCACTGGAGGAGGACAGCTGAGGAATAATGGACGTACATCAGGCTCAGCTCTATGGTTCTCACTCTGGAGCAAGTGTCAGAGCCACTTGGAGGGCTGGTTGAAAAGTAGATGTAGATCAATTGCTGGGCTCTGCCCCCAGGATCTCCAAGCCTCACCTCTGGGGTAGGGCCTGACCATTTGCAATCTATCCAGTTCTCAGAGGGTGCTACTGCTTGAGCTTTGAGAATCACTGGGCTAGCACGTTCTTCCTCCTGCTGGTGGTGATTTCAAACCCAATCGTTCATTTATTTTTCATTCATAGGACAATTCTTAGGTCATGACCAGGTACTGGGAACTGGGGTAGGGAGGGGGGGAAGAATACGATTAGAGGTGGGCCTTTCCTCTCGGAGCTCACATCCTGGAAGGAAAGTAGAACTAGGACACAAATAACTCATTGAGGGTAGGAAGAAATCACTGAACCAAAAACAGGTTCAAGTGAAGCTTTGTAGGATTTCTAAGAAGCAAGGGATTGCTCCTGGCAGGGGGGATGGGCAAGGCTGGTGGGGGGCATGGCATTTGAGCTGGGCCTCGGAGGATGGGTGAGATCTGACTTTGTGACCATGAGGGGAATGGAAATTCTAAACGGAGGGAACAGCAGTACCAAATTGCTTGGAGGTGAAGAACATTGTTGGGGAATGGAGACCCTGGGGAAAGGGGAGAGGGAGCAGTACTCACTGTGACCCTGGTAGAAATCCAGGGTTCATGAAGGCTTGTAGTGAAAGATAAGGGAGAGAGCTAGGCTGCTGCAGGCCTCATGTCCCGCACTATGCATTTGGGAGTTTGTCTCCAAAATGGAGAAGCTCTAAAGAAACTCCATGGCTTCCTTGCTGGTTCCAAACCCGGATCATCCAGAGAGAGTTATGCATGAAGACCTCTGCACACCAGGAGGGCCAGAAGACTGGCAAGGGTCACTTTTGCTGCTGCTGTTTGCTCTCCCTTAAGGCTGACATCACTGTCTTGCCACCGCCCTCAGGAGGCATGGTCCCTCTGTTAACTGGGAGGGACCCACAGCTTTCCCCTTAGCCCCAAAGGCAGAGCTGTGTGGTCCAGGGACCAGAAGCCAAGGTGTCACCTGAGAGTTATTTAGAAGTGAGAGTCTGAGTCCCCACCCCAGAAGTACTGAATTAAAATCTGCATTTTAACCAGACCCCTGGATAACTGCACATCAAAGTTTGAGAAGTGCTGGTTTAAACCAGACTTTACAAGAGCCGGGGAAAACAAAAGAAAAATAGATAGGGTTACTGAACACCCAGTAAAAATTTACTAACCCCCCTATATATTATATCACCCTCTCACTCTGAACCTCACCCTGTTTTATTTTCCTTCATCGCCATTGCCACCTGAAGTAGTCTATTTGTGTATTTGTTTCTCTAAGAGCCTCCGACACCTCCCAAGGTCCAAGAGAGCAGGCACTTCATCTGCTTTACTAGCTACTAGGTTTCCAGCACTGAAAAAAGTCTGGCAAATGGCAGGACGTCAAGAAATATTCACTGAAAGAGTGAATGAGTGGACGAATGAGCAAACAACCCCATGACCTGGGACACAGTCTGCGCAGCTCCCAGCCAACCTCTGTGTGGCAGAGGTCCGCCCCATTCCCCACCATCCACCTGCCCCCAGCTCAGCGACACCCCTGGGGTCTGCTGAGTCAGCTAGCCTCGTGTGCTTTTGAGATGCCTCAAAGTTGGAGTGCAAGAGAGCAGAGAGTGTGGATTCATGTGTTCCCTCCTCTGCTTGACTGAGATCTGCTTTGCAGGCTCTATCATCCCCCGAGAAGACCCACCTCTGCCCCAAAACTGCTCTCTGCCTCACAGCCCTCCCCTCCCCTCTATGCACAGGAATTTTGTCCTCCTCCCGTAATATGAATTCCTTGTCGCTGGACGCAGTGCTCCAAACCTAACACCCTTTCCTCCGGCTCACATGTGCCCTAGGAACATCAGTAGTTTGAGGTCACTGTTCTGCCTTTGTCACTCGTTTTAGCAAGATTCCTCTATCAGATGGATTGTCATGAGGGAAGAGTTGAAAGGGAAAGGTAGCAGCTGGGGTGAGAAAGGATGAGAACCGGCACCAGTGGGGGTTCAGTAGTGGCAGGGGGGGGTGGCCCAGCCCTGCCCTCCTGCAGATTCAGACATGGAAATTGTCATCAGTGACGGTGCAGTGTGGCAACAGTGTTCACGGGCCAAATCTGAAGGGCTTCCTGGAGGAAGTGGGTCCAGGGCAACCCACAGGGAGGCTGGTGGTGCAGAAAAAGCATTCAGGAGACAGAAGGTTCTGCTTAGTTGGAGCAGAGGGTGTGCAGGGGCAGTGGACGGAGGTGAGGCCAGAAAGAGACACGAGGCCTCATGAGGGACGTTAACAAGGGTGGCCAGGGGGATGCTAATGTGATCAGTTGGCTTTTGATAAGATCACCTCACTGTTTGAAGAGGGGAAAAGCGAAGGCAAGGGCCCCGGGAGGAGAGGAGCACCCTGGTGCCTGGCTCCATCTCCATCTCTCCTGGCTCAGAGAGCCTTCCCGCCCCGCATCTAGAGTCAGGACCCCTCCCCCGCCGCCGATTATGCTTTATCACACATTGTATTTATTTTCTTCTAGGATTTACTCCATTAGGTAATTGTTTTGTTTATTTGTTTATTGTCTACCCTTTCTGTCGCACACAAGGCTCTATTCATGAGAGCACAACCTCGTCTGTCTTATTCTCCACTGTATGCCAGCCCCACTCAGTGCCTGGCACACAGGAGGTGGTCAATAAATATTTGTTGAATGAATGAAAACGTGGATGGTATAGAGGCCATAGAGGTGGAAAGAAGTGGTTTGCGAGGTCTTTAGAGGTAGCGTCAACGGGAGCGTGACAGGCTGGAGGCGGAGGGTTAGATCAACAATGGTGCCCCAGGTTTCTGCTTTGAGCGATTGGGTAGATGGGATGTGGGGCTATTGGGGGAGGTGGGGGGCGCTGAAATGGGAGCAGTTCGGGTGAAATTAATGTATTCGGTTTGGGGCAGGTTGAGTTTGTGTGCCTGAGGGACATCCAGGTGGATTTGTGTAGGAGTCACTTCATTAGAAGAATCTAGAACTCAAAAGTGAGATTTGGCTTAAAAGGAGAAGAGAAGTCGATTGGAATGATGATGCAGGGATAGGAAGAAAAGGGCTTGGCAACTGACAGACAAGGAGAAGGGGCAAGGAGAGGGCCAAGTAAACACGACTGCTTGATTTCTTTTAAGTGACGTGTTCATGTAGAATATATTCAGTATAGACGAATATGAAAAAAGAAGTAAATATCCCAAGATCCAGCACCACCCACGGGTCATGGCTACGTTTTGGTAACTCTTCTGGATCGCTCTCTCTTCTGGATGTCCCTGTTCTTCATTCTATATAACTGCACATTGACACTGATAGGTTCATATGATACACAGCTGTTTTTGGAGCATGCATTTTTTCTTAACCATACGTCATGGAAATATTTCTGCGTTGATAGATATGGCTCTGCACCATCATTCTAAAGAGCTACATGGATTTCCTTTGCAGAGAGATACCATAACTCATTAACTGATCCCTCACACACTGACACGTAGATTGTTGCCAGTTTTGCGATATTATAAATAAAATTACATGAACACCTGTGTCATCCTTCATTGTCTCTTCATTTCCTTAGAGAATACTCCTAGAACATTCTACACTAGAATAGACAAACACTTACAGTTTTGATATGGGTTGCCAAACTTCTCTCCAGAGAAACTGTCTTGATGTACACCCACACGTGACACGCGTGAGAGGGCTATATTCCCCCTTGTCATTCTTTTCGGTGAAAATTATACCTTGTTGTTATGGGAAATTTTTCTTTTTATTGCTAATTTTTATTAAAGTTTTGTACATCCCAAATTTAAAGACTCATACATAATTCTGTAAGACTTAAAACAAAAAAAGCATTCTCACTTTCACTCACCTTTCCCCATTCCTGATTTCCACTCCCCAGAGGCAACAATTTTCAACCCTTCCACCCATTTTTTCTGGTATGTGTTCCACATTTTCAATAACACGATCACGCAGCATTTCTTGATATTTAGTCTCTGGTGTTATCTGATTGATTCCCTACCGTGGATGATGAGAACTATACTCTCTCCCACCAGCCTGTCCACACTGCTTTCCTTTCTTCCATCCTCTCTATTTAGTTACATCACACATTTTGGCTAAGCCTTCACTCACTGCCTACGTTAGCGACCCAAGTGAGTACTAGTCACTCCCAGCCGGGTCGCTACACATGCACTCTGTACTATTCTGCTTTCCCTTGAGTTTCATGTTCTGGTTTCCTGAGTTTTCTGTATACCAGTCACCCATCCCCAAACCCACTGCTGGAATTGTATGGATCTTCTCAACATGCCAGAACACACTGGCTGATCTCCTGACTTCATCTTTTTCTTGGAGATGCACTTGGTGAAACCCCCATGCCCGGTCCGGTCTAGGCTGGCCGCATCCCCAGTCTGAGGCCCAGACACCAGTCCTGGATGCCCCTCCACCGTCCTCCTGGGGCATCCCTTCACCTGGAGGGGACTGTCCT